GTAAGAACGGTATTTGCCTTAAACCCCTGAGGCTGAGAGAGAACAGTATGTAAGTATGCACACTCTCATGCACGCATGTGCAGTCACAGCTGAACTCTCTAAGCTAGCCCTGTAACATGCAGGCCCGACCTGCAGGTTCCAAATGACTGACTGATTCCCTTGGAAACTTGAATTATTTACTACAAAGGAGGGGTGCTAAGTATTTGGAGGGCTGTTATGGGTTGAGTTGTGTCCTCAAAAAAATATATTTTGAAGTGCTTACTCTCAGAACCGCAGAATGAAAACTTACTTGAAAACAGAGTTGCTACAGACATAATTAGTTAAGATGAGGTCATACTGGAGTAGGGTGAGCCCCTAACACAACATGACTGGCGTCCTTATAAGAAGATGGCCACATTACGGCAGAGACAGACAAGGAGGCTGGCATGAGACTACAAAGGCAGATGTTGGAGTTATGCAGCTGTGGGCCAAATACCAAAGATTGCCAGCAAACTGCTAGAGGCTAAGAAGAAGCCAGAAGGATCTTGGAGGCTTCAAAGGGAGCACAGCCCTGCTGACACCCTGATTTTGGACTTCTAGCCTCCAGAACTAGGAAATAATAAATTTCTGTTGTTTTAAGCTGCGTTTGTACTACTTTGTTATGGCAGTCCTAGAAAACTAATACGGAGTGGACAGTCTTTGACTCCAGGGCAGAAGAACCCTCTTTAACCTCTTGGCTGACCACACGATTAGCCTCATGGAAGTAAACGGGGGTATCTGTTGGTACCAAGGATACTTTCGCTGGTGGCTATTGGGACGCTGGAGCTACTACTGCCCCTCAGATGTTCACGGGCAATATTGTCACAAATGCCCCCCAAAACAGTCCCCAACAATGAAGCCATTCAGGTGCAACAGTCGCAGCCTGGATTTTTGATGGCTTTACTGAGCTGCTGAACCAACACTCTGCAACCACCCACCTCTTACCTTCACTGGGTAAAAAACTGTACTAATCTTGGCTTTTATTTATTTGATCTTGACTTTTAGATTAAACCTTTTACTATGCTAGGCAGTATTTCCCCAGGAGCATTGTTTCAAAGTACTATCACCCTAAGAGCACTCCCTAGAATTCTTCTTATTCTAAATAGCTGAGTTGATACTGCTTTTACCCAGTATTTTTCAACTTTAGTAGTATCCAAATGAGACAATGAGAGGAAAGAGGTGGAGAGTGTTGACAATATACTGCAGCTTTGAGCTGCCCCAGTGAACTGTGCGTTTGGACTGCTCACCAACATTTGATTCTGGTATGGTCACATTCCCGGTTTGTAGTAGAGCCTGTTTGAATTAAATATTGAAGTTACTCAAGCTGGGGAAATAGAAATGGAAGTAAAACTGGGAAAAGAATAATTTGGTTCCATTTCTCAGAATTAAATAGGATCAAGGATCTTTCAACTGCCTTTTCAAAATGAAAGCACTGGTCACCTGCAATGATTTTATTCCGCTGGTATTGGCATTGTATACGTTGTTGCCATATCCAATCTACACACCACTTATTCACACTAGAGAAGTAAAAGTATATTAAGAGAAGTAAAAGTATAAAAGTATATTAAGTAAAAGTATATTCTGCAGCTGTCACAGGAAGACAATGTTCATTGGAACCACTGCTGATTATATTTCCATGGACTGCTCTTGACCCAGAGCCTTGCTCACTAGGGAGAGTAGAAATGTTTATGGAATCGAACTGACAAATAGAAGATTGTTCCTGTGGACATATTTATGTAGAAATATGAAGAAGAAAAAAGCTTTGTTGGAAAAAGTAATTCTCCGTTTAGAAAATAAAAATGTGAGAGGGACGCCTAGCTCAGTCAGTTAAGCATCCGACCCTTGGTTTTGGCTCAGGTCATGCTCTCACAATTTGTGAACTTGAGCCCCGTGTCAGGTGAGATCAAGCTCCACGTCGCACTCCGCAATCACAGTGGGGCACCTGCTTAGGATTCTCTCTCTCCTTCTCTCTCTCTGCCCCTTTCCTGCTCATTCTTTCTGTCTCTCAAAATAAATAAACTTCTAAAAAAATGAGAAAATAAAAATGTGAGGATTGTGCAGGCTTGCGTCCCAAGAACTGCAGCCCAGGACTCAGAGCATACTGGAACACAAGCACACATCCTGAGAGAGACTTTGAGGCGTGCATGAGCAATTGGGCACTTGCTCCTGAAAGGCACTGTCAAGGTTTCCACAATTTAACCACTACAGCAGGTAAGATGGGACACTGGCCACTCCCTGTTGATAACTCAACCAGTTCCAGACAATCCGGGACACAGAAGCTCACCACAGACCACAAAACTGCCCCTTACAGAAATATTGCACATATTTTACTCAGCCTGGCTAAAACTGAGAAGTCACAGAGGTGCCTGGGTGGCTCAGTCAGTTAAGCATCCAGCTCAGCTCAGGTCATGATCTCACGGTTTGTGAGTTTGAGTCCCAAGTCGGGCTCTGTGCTGACAGCTCAGAGCCTGGAGCCTGCTGCAGATCCTCTGTCCCCACCCCCCTCTCTGCCCATCCCCCGCCCTCTCTCTCTTTCTCTTTCTCTCTCAAAAATAAATAAACACTTAAATGCACAAAGCCAAGGGTAGGCTTCTCTTATTTCCATTTTGTGATTCTGGGAATACCAGCTTGCTGTGAGTTAGAACAAGAACACCATCTTCTGTGTTATGCCACCCTAAATGTGAGTTGAGTGGCCTCAGTTATGCTTCCCTTCAATAACAGATCAATCAAAATCGACAGGGAAATTTTTTAATGCCAGTCATTGTAAAGCGTCCTCAAAGTACCCTCCAAATTCATCTTCTCCTTTGGCTATCTTTTTTACCAAAGGATTCATGCATCTACCGCTTACTGAGCACCTACCTACTCTGCATCAAGCACAATGCTGAGAGCAGGACATCCCAGGACCCTACCCAGAGATTACAGTGGGATGACAGTGATGTGCTAACGGAGGCTATAAGGGCTGCGGGGGAAACTTAGGGACAGGAGCCTCAGTGTCAGCCAGGGATTAGGGAAGGTTTCTTAGGGGAGAGAGATGCATCTGAGCGGAGACTTGGAGTCTTGAAGAGCTACTCCAGAAGATACAGCAATGCATGGAAGCGTTAAAGGACTGCTTTATCAAGATGGATGTGGAGTGAACTTGTTCACCACTGTTGAGGCTTAACAGCAAGTAAACTGGGGAACAATACCTGAGATGAGGCTGGACAGGTAGGCAGGGGCTGGACTATGGAGGGCTTTGTTCACCATCCAAAGGAGTTTTGACTCTTCCCTGCAGTGTTTCTCAAAGTAGGGTTCACAAGGTCCCTATGAAAATTTTTGTGGTTTTGTTTCTGTTGCAATGATCATTTTATTAGTAATAAAATCGGAGAACAGTGATAGAAACATATTCCAAATCTGGATGACCATTTGCCTCACAATCTCAGCACCGGTATTTATGTTTATTATTAAGCTGGCATAGGCCAAGAGACATGTACCAGTTAGAGACCAAAGGAGATGCTGTTTGAACAAAGATCACCCGAGCTGAAATAGAGTAAGTAAAGTGGTGGGAGAACTGGGTCACCACATAATACACATACTAAGTGTGACAAAATAACTCAAAGGAATTTATGCTGTCATGCTCTGAAACATATTCATGCTGCAAAGGACAACTGAGTTTCACAAAACAGTGTCATTTGTTTCTTTAAATTAAACGTGCTGACTTGAGTGATATTGGCTTTGCAGTTTTTTTTGTAACACTTTTTTTTTCGTTTTAGTCTCATAGTTCTATAAATATAAGCCATAAGGAGTTTATGTCTAGTTTCATGTTTTTAAAATCCCACTTAAGAAACTAAGATTTAAGTAAACACTGGAATCTACAGGGTTTTCCTTTCTCTAAATCGGGCCTGTCCTTGGGTCACCTGGGGGGCTCAGTCAGTTAAGTGTCTGACCTCTGCTCCTATCATGATCTCACAGCTCGTGGGTTCAAGCCCTGCATCGGGCTCTGCACTGACAGTTCAGAGCCTAGAGTCTGCTTCGGATTCTGTGTCTCCCTTTCTCTCTGCCCCCCCCCCCACCGACCCCCCACTCACACTCTCTAGCTAGCTCGTTCTCTCTCTCTCTTTCTGTCTCTCAAAAATAAACATTAAGAGTTTTTAAAATAATAATAATAAAATAAAATGGGCCTGTCCATTACCTAAGCGTGAAAGAGAGGCCCACAGACAATGGTAAGCCACTGAAAAGCTGTGAGCATATTAGTGTCAACTGATTACTGTGTTAGGAGACCTCCTATGCAGACACATAGAGGAAGAACAGCCATGGGGACAGAATGGAGATAGAAAGACCTCTAACGAGACGACTGCCTGAGTCCTCTTATTAAAAGCACCCATCTGCTTAATCCCAGAGACCTGCTCAGGACACAGGCCCCCGTACAGTGGAATTAAATGCTGACCTGGCAAGCAAAGCTGTAACAGTGTTTCAGGGTATGCCTTATCTAGCTGGAAAATTCCCCAAACTTCTACCTGCATCATCTCACAGAGGGTTCTGTGATGATGCCAGAACCAAATTAGGATCAAATCCCAGATTTTTCTAGAGAGCCAAAAAAGTACGCAAGAGAAGCTGCTATGTACCTGGTAGCAAAAAACTGTGTTTAGTACGGTAATCCAGTCAGAGCTGGAATCCTTTTCTTTATCAATAAGCCATGTGTTTCTGGGGCTGCACCTGGCCGGGAAGGTGACTTTTTCTAATTCATACAAAGGCTGGGTAAACTTGCCAAGCCATGACCCTGGGAGAGGGGTGCATCTTCTGGAGGGAACACCTTTTTCTAATTGCATGAAGGTACCCTATGGGTTAGCTGTAACTAAATCCTGCATTTTTGAGATTATGTGTCATCATTATCACTAACCAAAGCAGAACTTACAGTTCTGAAAATTTTGTGAAGTATATGACTTTCCCCCAAAAAATGCACAGTACCAAGGTACTCAACAAACACAATTAATGCCTCTGATTACCTCGGGGGCCATCCAGAATGGGGTGCCAACAGATGTGTTTCTCCTCAGACGTGTACTGGTGAGTTGAGCTGAGACACCTATAAGAAAAGGGTATCGTAATTCAGCAGTGAACAGAGGATGATGCTAGATCAGAGGTTGGCAAACTTTTTCCATAAGGGTCGGACAGTCAGTAGGTTTTGCCAGCCCCATGGGCTCTGTCAGAATTGGTCATCTCTGCCACTGGAGACCAAAAAGCAGCCAAGAACAACACAGAAACAAGTAAGTGCTGCTGTGTTTCCATAAAGTTTTATTTATGGATGAATATAATTTTCATAGGCCATAAAATATTCTTTTGATTTTCCCCCAATCATTTAAAAATGTAGAAGCCATTCTTCTCTCACTCATCACATAACGGGAGGCAGATCAGATTCAGCTGAGACACCGGAGTTTGCCGACCACTGCGTGGAAGCATTTATCCCTCTAGCCAAATCACTAGAATATTTTTTTCCTAATGAACGTTCCTATCTGTAGTGCTGCAAAATTGGAATCGAAAGAAAATATCAAGAACTAAACCCAAAATATCTTCCTATTATATCTCCAAAATATTCCAGGTGATGTCGTTCTTAAAGTAGTGCTTCATTTACAGAGGAAGAAAATTGGTGTGTATTATATGCAATAGAGCAACAATGTACACATAAAAACTTCTTAGTCCCTTATCTTACCTAGGAGGCTGGAAACCTGGCAAGAAAACCATGTCAAATGGAAAAAGAAGTTGACTAATAATATTATTATCTAGGGCTCAGCGTTGAGGACCTGAATTTTAATGTAATTCCAATGTATTTTATCTATTTTAGTCTTCAGACAGCTCTCTTCTCTATACAAAAGGGAATAAAGTAGAAGTACAGATGTGCTGGATTAGTAGTCAGAAGACTTGTTTTCCATCCCAATTAGGCCTTTTCCTAACTGTATGACCTCAGAGTCCCTCACTCTGGGCCTCAATTTTCTTATCCTCAAACTGGGGATAATGATACCTGTCACACTGAATGCAACGGGTCTTCTTTTTTTTTTTTTTTTAAGAATTTTTTTAAAGTTTATTTTTATTTGAGAGAAGATCAAGAGCAAGCAGGGGAGAGACAGAGAGAGGGAGACAGAATCCCAAGCAGGCTACACACTGCCAGCACAGAGCCCGATGTGGGGCTCGAACTCACAAATGGTGAGATCATGACCTGAGCTGAAGAGGCAGACGCTTAACTGACTGAGTCACCCAGGCACCCCAGCAAGGGTTCTTCTTAAAGATCAAATAAGAAAATAAATGTGAAATAATTTATAATTGTAAAGTATTTTACAGACATAAGGTATTTGTTTATACCAAGCAGAAATCTAATGCAGGGGTGCCTGGTTGGCTCAGTTAGTTAAGCATCTGACTCTTGGTTTCAGCTCAGGTCATGATCTCATGGTTCCTGAGTTCAAGTCTGTCAGCCTGGAGTCTGCCTGGGATTCTCTCTCTCTCCCTTCCTCTCTCTCTGTCCCTCCCTGGCTCATGCTCTGTCTCTCAAAATAATTTTAAAAACTTAAAATAATAAAAAAATAAAATAAAAATTTTAATTAGAAAATAAAAGAAATTGAATGCAGCCCTTAACAGAATGACAAACATTGTCAGTAATGCTGTTGGTAATGAGAACTTAAAAACCTGAATCAGGCACAGATTTGCCAAGGACCCACAGGTTGCTTCGGACTGGACGCTTGCATTCCAGAGAGAAATTAGAAATCCAAAGAGGGCTCTCTAAACTCTATCGGCCATGGATAATTTGTTATTTTGCCAAGTTCTCCACTGCGATTTTGCTTAAAAGAAAAAAAAAAAACTAAACTTTTCTGTTTTTGATTGCTAGAAATTCCTTTCGCAGCAACTGGGAGTTTAGGAACCTTCTCTTGGCAAGATTAGGAGACTCATTTCAAATCACAAAACTGGTGAGCAGATAAATCAGCATTAATCCCCATCCTCATCCTTCTAGGCTCTTTCCCTCACAATACATTCACTGGCCTTGGGATCACGCGTAAAATACATCTCTGATGTTATCCACAGCACATTGATAAGGTCACACCATTCCTTATTCAGAAAGCAGAGCATGAGACATGAACCAAGTGCCCCTTTGCTATTTTTCTTTGCTTGTTCTTTTAGTAAGTAGATCGATACACCTAAAGTAACTCCTCCACTTATTTTTGAGAAATTTCTTCTGAGCTAATCATTCACATTTTAACACTGAATTCTTTCTTAACAACAAAAAAATGAATATTCAAAATCATCAATCTTTTCTCCTACTATGTTGACTTTGATAAAGAACATTTTAAAAAGTGCTTCTATAAATGTTTTCTCTTTATCTGTAACAATCATACTGAAGTACTAACCATCATTGAACACATTTAGAAGATTAAACCATTCAATAAAGTTAAAAAGGAAAACCAAATGGTTTGTTGGTTTCTGAATATCAATACATGAACCTTGCAAGGAGATATTAGTAGGTCTCTGGCCTTAGGTGATATTGCTCTGTATTTCCGCTCACATTTCCATTTCCTCTTAATGTTTCCAGTTCAACCAGCCTCACATGTAGCAGCAATAATCACGATTTAGAGGGATGTTAGCTCCCAGACCCAAAGGACTATTTTACCTTCTGCTCACTGGGAATAAGTGTGCCTGAGGCTAGAAAAAGTCATTTAAAAGACCAAACTGCTTTCTCTTTTCATATGCAAAAGAAGAAATGATGAAATGTAAATTATAGACAATCGCCCTGAGATGCGACATTCTTCCCAGAAAACCAAAGTTTTCTATCAAATTCTTCTTTTGAAACACTTTTATTTTCTATCTTTAATAAAATTGCTTCTAAAGCTGAAAATAGATTAACAAACAGCATCTCCTAGGGTGATCCATCTGGTGACACCCCCCCTCCCTGCCCCCACTCTCCAGTCTGTGCTTGACTGGAAAAAGTCCCTCAGCCTATCGGATAGCAGAGAGGCCCCAGTCTTCTGAGATTCCAATAAATTGTTGCCTTGGGCTAAACTGCACACATCAAGAAAACAAACGACAAGCAGTCATTACCAAAGTCAACGAGCTTAACTCCTCCTTCTGTTGTCAGAAGAATGTTATTCCCCTTGACATCACGGTGGATGATTCGGTTATTGTGCAAATGCTGAAGGCCCTGCATGGCATCCCACCACCACCAGACAACAGGAAAGAGAAAGGGTAAATTTGAATGGTTATTTTAAGACAATTACCCTACTATTAAAAATCCAATCAAAGTCCACATTTAGCTACACCTCCCTGCCGTTATACACCTTGCATATTATAGGGCCATTTCCACTTACTACTATGCAATGGTGATCCTGACAGGTTACAAATTTCCCTCCCCCGTGTCATCCCCAGCTTGATGGACGGTCTTACCAAGAGGGCCCCATATAAGATGTATGAGATCATTGCTTCATCCAACCGCTGGCCGCACCTGAGTAGACCTTTGACAAGCTCGGTGACTGAGCCCCCATTACACAACTGCAAGAGGAAGTGCCGAGGAGAAGGGACAGCAGGAGGACACATACAGAAGAAAAAGAAAAAGATGTTAAGAAGAAAAGCTCACTCATTATTGACCTGATGCAGTAAGTTTACAGATCACAAAATTCCAGGTCAGAATAATTAAACTTCAGATTTACATTACACAATGCACACGTCCAAAAAGTTGATTGTCGAGTGAAATATAAAAGCACAAGTCATTTAGACATTCGAAAGAGAAAGCATATCAGTAATCATGGTGACTTACTGGATATTTTCATTTTACGTGAATATTGCCTATTTAAAAAAAAAAATAGGAGCACCTGGTGGCTCAGTCAGTTAAGCGTCCAACTTTGGCTCAGTTCATGATCTCACAGTTCGTGGGTTCGAGCCCCACGTCTGGCTCTGTGCTGACAGCTCAGAGCCTGGAGCCTGCTTCGGATTCTCTGTCTCCCTCTCTCTCTCTGACCCTCCCCTGCTCATGCTGTCTCTCTCTCTCTCTTTCTCTCTCAGAAATAAATGAAACACTAAAAAAATTTTTTTGAATAATAAAAGAAAAGAAAATAAAAGTAAAAACACATGCATTTTATGGATAAGGAAACAGCAGGAGAGGTAAAGATGGATGTCATTGCCACTGGGAGGAAATAACTCTCATTTCAAACCTTCCTGTCTCCAGGGCTTGCACTGCAGGCATCAGAAGCCCAACCAGCAGCTCTTTCCAGAGTTTACACTGCATGTCAAATTTACAGAATGGAATCGCCTCATATGTGCATTTAACCTTCTCATATTCAACCCTGGGTGCTCAGCAACTTTATGCCCTTCTTTTTTGTCTGTAATTAAAAGTACTGTAAAAGTACATATTATATATTACTAAGATTTGAGAGCACATGAACCAGGCATACTATACTTTCATGGAAATGTAAGAGTTTTCAAGGATAATTTTTACTAACTGTAGAGGCCAATATTCAGGTTTGGGCTTACTACCTGCCATCTTAAATCAAAGGTTCTTAATTGGTTTGAGCAGGACATGGAAACACCTTGAAATTGTAGGTATGCATGTTGTATATGCGTCTTGCATTTTTTCTGCTAAGAAAATTTAGAGCCTTCTTCAGATTCTCAGAGTCATCCTTTCTCTTATAAAGGTTAAGACCTCACTTTAGACCTGGGCACTTTGTCTAAATGTTGGGAAAGGGTTAACTAGTGAACAGTGAGAGGTTCCCTGGGTTGTGGCTGCTTGAGTCAAATGGCTTTTGGTAGACATGGAAATATGAATGGGCACAGATTAGCATCTCTCTTTATCGAGATAATAATACATTAGGATCTATTTTACTCTGTTTATGAATATCTGCAATGTTTTAATAAAGGGTGAGCAGATGTTTTTATTTGATGTGTGTATCATTCCCTGCTACATACATGGCAGATACCTTGCACACACACTAACAATCAAAATTACCTGGACCTGAATCTGCCCATCTTTTACCATTTAAATTGTTCATAAGCAACAGTATGACTAAAAATCTAATACAGAATTAGCAGCCTTTACAACTATGATAAAATTACCATCAGGAACAATTTAGGAAGAATCCTGAAAACACTGAAATGCATCGAAGGCTACAATAGTCCCATCAGTTTGCAGTGTCCTTGGAATCTACTCTCTACCAATGTGAGGTGTAACCCGTAATTCAACACGGATCGCTATGATGGCCCTAACGTTGAGTACTAGGGTAATGTCTTCCAAAAGTATCCGCATTCTTTTGATTCTATGTTTTGCATGACCCTGAAAGGGCACATAACATTCAACCTAATATCCTCTTGGGAAATGAATACATTTTTAGTGCCATGATTTGTATAATAGTCTTAAAAGCTCAGCTTTCTTTCACCAGACAAAAAGAACTTTCTAGGACTCTACAGACTAGATTCTACATTTCAAGGAACAAATACTGGAGAACTGACCACAGAATCAAATGATGATCATGGAACGGGGTGTGACATAAGGGAAGTTCTCAAGAAAAAGAAAAGCCCTTCTAAAGTTGGTGGCATAGAGCGTAGAGAGCTGGAGAGGACAAGAGTAGAGTGACATCGCTCCCTTCTAAGGGATTCTAAATAGGGGAACAATTATAATAGAAACTTCAATTTCTCATGATCCTCTTCTCATCTCTAAATCTAAGGGGACACCCCCACACAGAAGCTTCATGACAACAAAGGGGTGTCCATGTTGAGCAGAAATGGCAGCAGGCCAAGGTGAGGCTGACCAAGGCTGGGATTTTAACAGTTCCCTACAACCCACTCATGACTTGCAGAAGATTCAGAACTTTATGCTCCATTGGGAGACAGGGACAAGACTAGAGTCTGAATGAGAAGGACAAAGAAAGTGAGGACCTGATAATAGGAAGGAGTATCAGAGACCAAGGACGTGGGGAAATACCAAAGCCAAACAGCACAGGGACTTAGTGTTCACCACGCAATTCAAGGCCCCTGTCCTCAATGTTATAGCTTTACATGAGCAGCTCCTGTACCCAGATCCAGGTGCCACCCAGGGAGAAGGGAAGAGGAAGAAGAATAGAAGAGGCTCTAAAAAATTTAAGGCTTTACCCAAATGATTGGAGAGCCCATAGGCTCTGACCCAGACTATGAAAACGGGATATAAATAGTAGAGTCTGCCCCTTTCCAAAGAAGTCACTCACTTGGACGAAGTTTAACAGAAGGAATTAAAATCAGTTGTCTCCTCTAGGCAGGCTGGGAGCTCAAGATCAAAGTTGAGTTCAGTTATTGAAAAGAAATTTACCTCTTTGTTCTAAATCATATGTGACCGTTCAGTTTATGACCCGTTACTCATTCCTGGACACAACACAGTCCCTGCCCTGAAAGAGGTCGCCGCCAGTAATGGACATGAGTAATTAGGGTATGGCATATGGAGGCAGGGGTGTGCTTAGGGAGTGTGGCGGCACAAAAAGGGAATGGTGGCCTCTCCTGAGATAGGGTGAGGAGGAGAGAGTCAAGAAATCTTCCCAGAGGATGTAACATTTACAATGAGTTTAAGGGACAAATGAGTTTATGGCAGGTAGACAAGAAAGGGAAGGGCATCTATGAATTCTAAATACTGGGCTACTATTAGAACAAAGGGTGCCAGAATTCTAGGACTGGGAGATGAGGAAGGAAGGAGGGGAGCAGGAAATGACAGGTGTGCCCTGCTAATGAGTATGGGCTTTATTACTATCACACATGTATTACAACACAAGAATATATCATTAGATAGGAATGGTAAGCAATGGCAAGTTTTAGGCAAGAGGTCTCTGTTCAGATTCGTATTCTACAAAGACCAGGCAGCAGACTGGAGAGTAGACAGAACAGGAAGACATCAGAAGCTAGACACCTCCTATGAAGTGTTGAAGCAATCAAGAAAGGCAAGGTCAAAAAGCAAGAGTCATGAGGATGAAGATTCAAGGACAGATATAGGAGGCTTTTCGAGAGAGAATCTGCTGTACTTTCTGACCAACTGGATATAGAAAGAAGAGAGCCAATCGCAGTTCGTGGGTTTGAGCCCCGTGTCGAGCTCTGTACTGACAGCTAGCTCAGAGCCTGGAGCCTGTTTCAGATTCTGTGTCTCCCTCTGTCTCTGACCCTCCCCTGCTCACGCTGTCTCTCTCTCTCGGAAATAAATAAAAACACTTTTAAATTTAATAAAAACATAAAAATAAAATAAAGCCAAAGCAGTAATAGGAATGCAGGGTACTATAATACCTTCATCAGAACCTCCCCTCAGCCTGGCCCCTGTCTCAGGGAGGCACATGCTTTGTTGAATTGCAAGTGCACTATTGAAATTCTACTGAGAGAAAATTTAAATTAAATGCTGGGTGATGATCCAAGCTAACTCAACCCTGGAATTTTCCCCTGAAACCTCATTTTAGTATCTCCTGCCCTACTTTGACTGTGGCCACTTTTGCAACAGAAGCCTATTCAGCGATACGTTATATAGGTAGCCAACTTACAAACTTTCTTCATAGCTCTAGAACCTATGAGGAGATTAAGAGCAGCCATTTTGTCAGCAGGATCAAAACTGAGCTGTGGGTTTAAAAACAACAAAAGGATCTTACCGGGTCGGTGCCTTTTGTTCACTAAATGTCAGAGTTTAAGAGCTGTGTGACTTCCTGTGATTCACAAAAACATATAATTAAACTGCTCAGGGCCCCCTTAGAGGAAGCTGTCCTGTGAAATTGAAAAGCTCCCCAGCAAAGTTTTAAAGGGCAGCCTGTGGGCGACAGAAAAAGGAATACGGGTACCTGGTGCAAAAAACAAAGCAGGTACGCACTGACAAGTGTCCTTCCAGTATAAATGTTCAGTGAAATGAAATGAATATTTTAAAAGCATGACAAGGAATTACATTTAAATGCATTCAATAAATAATCCCCTTAGAACTGTGAGAAGGCGACCATGCCTCCCACCCCACCCCTGCATGCTGGCTCCTGCGGCCCCTCATTCCCACCCACTCCGCCAGCCCTCAGATTCAAAAACAGAGGTGTGTCTCCATCCCTGCTTTCCTCCCTATGCCCTCAGCATTCAGGAAATGTGGCAGCTGGATGCATCTAGAATTTAATAAGCATTTTGCTGCAAACCAAGAAAGATAGAAAAATCATTTATGTATCACATCTATTTTCCAAAACATCGTTGAATATTGATTCAATCACAGTATGTGCACTTGCTAAGATGGCCATAATTTCAAGCAATAAAGTGTTCCTTGCTCAATAAGTCATCAACTTTCCTCCAAGTTATTATTAAAGAATGGCCCAGGCAGTACAATCACCAGACCTTGATTCTAGTCAAAGCTCCAACCTGCAAGTAGATTCTGTACTGGCATGTTGATTTGACCCAGTCAGACTGCAGAATTCAGAGGAATTTCTTTTTGGTGCCCTTTAGTTCAGTGGATTTTATCCTTCAAGTGTGTTAGGTTCTACAGAGAATGTAAAGTCCAGAATTGTCAAAACTACTGAAGAAGATGCCTCAGGAAGCACTATGGTGGACACTGTGCATCTCTCTGTAAGTCCAGAACAACATAGTTTTTCTCCACACTGTAGGGGAGATTGTGTTATTTTGCTGACACCAGCGGAAGCCAATGGCTTGCCCCAAGAAGAATGAACGCCATGTCGTTTGCAGATCTAGAGTTCCAGTCAGAGTGGGGAGACACTCCCACTCTGAGAGGCAGGTGGGCCGCAAGACTCCCTCCTCTCATCTCATCTCTCTCCATGGGGGACAGGGTCACTCCCGCTCCTCAGCTTCAAACTCTCTTGCGTTCGGTGAGCACATACCGTACGTGTACCTAGGATGCAGCTTCGTCTCCACTCCCAGGGGTTCTACACCCTCCTTCTGACACCCAGCACTCCAGTGACTCTCATTCTAGAACCCCACCAGAGGCTGCCGTCTGAAGCAGCGCTTGCTAACCATCTCTGGCCAACCCAAAAGTACCAGTCCTAGGTTCCAACTCATCAGAGCCCTGTTCCCACTCTAGTTCGTTCACATGATAAACCTAATTAATTCATGCCACAATATCAGTGGGTGAGAACAGTTTTAAAGTATAACACTTGCAATGAAATTCAGGCCTATGTGGGAATTTCTAGGGCCTTAAATAGAAGCAAAAGGTGTCTCCCCTACCATCACCGCAACCTGGCTTAGTTACTGAACTTCTACACAAATCTCCAATGAAAAAAACTGATTTTTTAAAAAGCTAACTATTTCATCAGGTTTTAGAAATATTTTATTTTACAGTTTTATTTACGTTCTCTAAACTCTAAACCATTTCTTTTAAGTTTAGCATGTGACCCAGGCTGAAATTAACAGTTTCTATCTGCTGAACGTTTTATGCTAAAAGGAAAAAGGAGAAAATACAATTTACACCTTAGCACACACTAGGTATTTTTTCTGAACGCCATGTTTTTCTTAAAGGTCTAAATTATTATTTTATTTCATTTAGGTGAGAGATAATAGGACTTATAGATATTAAAATTTAATATTCATTTAGATTAAAACTTATTCACAAATTTTCCAATACGTTATTATATGTAAGTGTTTTCTCTCCACACCTTTTTAATATAGTAGGTGTCTGTCATGAAAGAGAGCTTTGGTTTACTTTCTGCTAACAATTAGTAATGAATTTCAGAAATGACATTTTTATTTGCTCTTGTTTTCAGAGTTGTGATGATTTAAGGGAGTTATTAATAACACTTTTCTATCCTCTAGACTTGCTCTACAGAGTAGCTGCTCACTGGTCTTTCATCTCATTCAGCAAGGAAAGAGCAAAAGTAACATAAATTTAATCTCAGTATACATAATAAGAACAATATTAAACAGATCATAAGTTTATTGTGTGAGTCTCCTGAAGCATGCCTTGAAAAACTGCAGATAAAGCAAAATAATCAGGGTGCTATATAGACCCTTATGGTCTTCCTGCTGTGTGTGAGTACGTGTGTGTGTGTGTGTGTGTGTGTCCAGGAGCTGCTTTGATCCCAGCCAGAGATGCCAAGTCTGTGTTCCCAGGACCCAGCAGACAGTACCCAGGCAGCAGCAACACATAATGGGAGACAAGCTCTCAAGTGTGGTTCTCCCTCCAGTTCCGCCATGTCACTGCTATGGCCTCTGCTCTTCAACTGAATACCAGGAGACTGACCTACCTACATAAAGGTCAGGCCAGTTCTAGGAGTCCCTTTTTCTATGAGAATATTATAGGCACTGGACACACCTAACCACCCAGCAGCCTGACACACATGGCCCATTCAGGGACAAAAACAGACTAAGGTTATCTGGTTCCCCATATTACCAACTTCAACATGGGCCAAAACAACTTGCAAAGGATGTGGAGAAACGGGCACCCTCCTCCACTGTTGGTGGGAATGTAAACTGGTGCAGCCCCTCTGGAGAACAGTGTGAAGGTTCTTCAAAAAATTAACAATAGAACTCCCCTATGACCCAGCAATAGCACTGCTAGGAATTTACCCAAGGGATACAGGAGTGCTGAGGCATAGGGGCACATGGACCCCAATGTTCATAGCAGCAGTCTCAACAACAGCCACATCATGGAAAGAGCCTAAATGTCCATCAACTGACAAATGGATCAAGAAGATGTGGTTTACCTATACAATGGAATACTACATGGCAATGAGAAAGAATGAAATCTGGTCATTTGTAGCAATGTGGATGGAACTCGAGGGTGTTATGCTGAGCGAAATAAATCGTCAGGCAGAGAAGGACAGATACCATATGTTTTCACTTACAGGTGGATTAGGAGAAACTTAACAGAGGACCATGGGGGAGGAGAAGGGGAAAAATAGTTAGGGAAGGGCAGGGGGAGGCAAACCATGAGAGACTCTTGAATGCTGAGAACAAACTGAGGGCTGACAGGGGTAAGGGAGAGGGGGAGGGGGTGATGGGCATGGAGGAGGGCACTTGTGGGGATGAGCACTGGGTGTTATATGGAAACCAACTTGACAATAAACTATAAAAGAAAAAAAGCCAACTCACAAAAAGCGTAATAAGTGACAGCATATTATATTGCTGATGTATGAATAATTCAGTATCTCAGGGTAACTTCATTATCTGTCTGTGGTCACCCTGAAAAAGCAAGCACCTGTGAGGGGATCATTGGCGTGAGGCTTAGTTCATAGTTCTGGGCTCCTTCTCATCTTTCAAGGCCATGCCCAGCCCTTTCTGGCTGCCTTGGCCATGCCTGAGAGGCTGATGTTCAATATCTTCATCAGGAAGGGTATTTAGTCTCCAGGTGAGCAGCCCACCCACGTGCCTGGTTACATCAAGGGGAGGCGCCTTTTAAAGCCCTGGAAAATTCCTGGAAGTTCCAGTTCTCCATGTTTGAATATACAGTCTTTTTCAGTCAGGGGGTAAAAATGAACTGAAACTAAGGTTTCTTGGTCACTCTACTTCCATTATTAAATTGCAATGAGATTTAAGACATGTTCAGTTTAGAGAACTGAAGAAGAATATAATCAGACACCCTAGAAATAATACTTCCCATGTTCTAAGAAAAGCAGCATTTTAAAAATTAATGTTATTCTAGAGCTCACTGGCAGGATAAAATATATGTTTTCAGGGAAGGGGTAGGGAATAATAAAATCCAAAGGATGATACTATGAGAATATGATATATGACAACGAACCAAATAAATAGACAAAGATGATCTTTGAAAACCAAAGAGGTTTTCATATTCATATCCTGAGGAAGGCAATTGATATGACAGAAATGTACAAAGTGGTTTCCCTGCAGATTACCCCATTTGAATATAACAAATGAATTCTCCATACACAGTTGCCATGGCAGCCAGCATATACTGTTCCATGCCCAGGCCCTCTCAGAGCCCGGCAAAAGATTTGGACAAGAGGGTAGATGACGAATTGAGGCCTGACCTCTTGCTTGCTGCTTCTCTCCCTCTCTCTCCCTCGCCCTCTCTTTTTAAGTAGGCCTCACACCCAGCACAGAGCCTTATGTGGGGCATGAACTCACAACCCTGAAATCAAGACCTGAGCTGAGATCAAGAGTAGGATATTTAAGCAACTGAACCACCCAGGTGCCCCTTGCTGCTTCTCTCTTAAGCTTTCACATGTGTGCATGTGCTCCGGGACTGCATACAGGAGCTCAGGCACAGGGGCACCTACTGGTTCAGAGGGCAGAACCCAGAACAAATCAGGCTGCGCCTACTGAGCATGAGGCAATAGACCTGTCCTAATTTACTAATTTCACATATTATCATTATTACAGCTTAGCCATTTGGCTAGATCTCATCTTAGTCTCATGTGGAATGGAACTGTAGGTAATTGACTCTTTTGCACCCAGATACACACATTCATTACCATTAATAAAGAAGGAAAAAGGCAGGATCACAGTGGATACAGTAGTGCTCCTTTCAGATTCCCTCTTCAGAGGAGGTGCTGCCGGGAATATTAGCTACTCACAGCCCCCAGTGGCACCACTCACTAGGAATTTCTCCTGGCTACTGCGAACTGCGTCCCCTAAGGTCACACCCCCTTCAGGGCTGGCACACAGCTGTGACTGGCTGATGCAGAGATACAATCCAGGACAGTTTGAGCATCTCTGCTCTCCATTTCTCGGAGAAAGGGCAGAGACCTCTGTTGCAACCGCACTGCTATTCCATGTCTCCCTTGCCCAGTCCTGCCTTCGTCACTTCCTTCCAGGCCTAGCTCCTGCAGAAACTCTCCAATAAACTTGCCACATGTGACACTCAGTCTGTTTTGAGGGAACCTAATCTAAAATGAAGATTAATGAATATGAACGGACTAATCCAAACGTGGTGAGTCAAATAAACCTTGGGTTAGCAATTGCAATGAGTTGCAATCAATTGGAACATGTTTTCTCCAGTTGAAGGAAGAAAATAACCTTTTCTAGCTGCACTCCTATATTCACTCTGTAGAAGAAGAAAAGATTGTTAAACTTTTGAAGCAGAGAAACATGAACATTGTCAGCACACAGCCTATAAGAACTCCGGAGGAGAACGCCACATCTGCTAAGGTACTTCTGACACAGAGGAGGGATCAACTCCTCACATGTGTATCTTACACTATTTAGGCAACACTGCATCTGCTTGTCCCTGGTGCTCTGTTTAAATGGATGGTTACCCAATGGGAGCCTCTTACCTCCAGGACCAGCCACAGCTGTCCTCCCACACAGTGATCCGCTTTGTAAAACATCCCATAAAACTTTACGACGTTGGGATGATTAGGAAGAAACTGCAAAATGTTGTATTCTGCCTCAATCTCTTCATCCATATCCTGCACAGGGTAAAAAATACATGCTGGATTAAGTCTAATGTGTGAGGGTAGGTATAGGCATAATATCACTTTAAGCATATTTATTCTATATTTTTAATGTCATCATTACTGTATCTTGAAAATATTTAACAATGGACGTTCAGATCCCATTTAAACATTCTAATTATTACATCAATAAAATATCTTCATTAGATTTTTTTCTTCCTCAGTAGTACTATTATAAATATCTATTTTTATTTTTAAATGTCTGAATTTTCAAAGCAGTTAAGGAGAAGTAGCTTGAAGGGACCCGAGGCGGGATAGAACACCTATAACCTCACTGTGCAAAACAGTTTCCAGCATTATAAGTTTGGTGTTCAGTGCTCTGGAAGACGATGCCAGGCCAAGATGAATGAGTACCACATGTCTAGATCTTTGTAGCTTACAAAGAGACTAGCCTCTGTAGAAAGGAGTGAAATACATTACTCTTTCCAAGAAAGTAACTACTGATGAACTCAGAGGGTCAAAACCAAACAACAGTAGAAGAAACAGAAATTCAAGGAAATGTTAAACTCCAAATGGAGTCCCTTCATGCAGATGAGCTGATAAATCATGACTCATTCTGAGATGTCACGCCAGGTTTCATGAAAATCATCCCTAGAACCAGGAAAAGAAATTGAATGCTCAAGGTGCATAAAACACTATATTGTAGTTGCAATTTACTACCATTACTTACACTGACTGGATCCAAAATTTTTACTGCAGCCAGGCTCCCATCTCTCTTGTTAGTTACCTTGTAGACCTTGCCATAGGTGCCTTTACCTATGGTCTCTATAATTTCCCAGGTATCAGTGGGATCTGGAAGCGATTCAAGTCCAAGCATCGTGGGATTGTAATGAAACAATCCATACAGATGTTTCCTGATGGGGAGAAAAGTTTGTTATGTGCAAGAGATCACAGGAATTGAGGACAGTGGGCTTTCAAAACAATATTCTTTTTTCTTAACTAGCAATGTTATGGTATTTTTTTCTTTTTCTTTTCCCCTTTTATTTTAGTAGTTTTTTTTTTTTTTAAGAAAGGTATTTGAAGGCTTTTTAAGTAATGGAGGTAGAAGGTGGAGGAGAAGGCAACATGATTCTGTAATATCTTTAAAACATGATTCTAAAAGGGGAGATTCCATACGCACTATAGGAATGAGCAAGAGGGCCAAAGAGGACATCTGGTCATGACTGGATAGTTCTCATTTTAGGCTTTGCTAGGGGAAGCATCTGAAAGCTAAAGGACTAAGATCTTTGTGCCCAGGTTCTAGTAACTATGACCAGGTCTCGTTCTTGATGGTCACTGGACACCAGTTTCCAATCTCCACGTGCAAAGTGTAGGCTGCCCGGAGGAGGATCTGGTGTCCCTCCCAGGCATCAGTCAAGGTCCAGCACCCATTGCTGACCAGGTCTTGGGGTCTGCAACGATTAGCCAAGCTCAGCCTCCATCCATACAGCAATAGCCTTGTGTGGGAATCACACTGAGCAGTTAACCCAGAGCTACAAACTCACTTTGCCTATTTAATAAGAACACAGCCCTGTGGAGTTAAGTCCCAACAGCTTGACAGGCAAATAAAGTCACCCAAGACTGATCCTTTAAGTTCAGTTGCTTCTTGATGAAGAGTCCCAAACCCAGTCTGCTTCTAACCCAAGCAGAGGGGCCAGCCTCCAACAGCAAGAGTCATGGCATCCAATCCCCACACAGGGGCTTGGTAGCCAGCCTACAAGAACTCCGGAGGAGAACTTCACCCAGGCTGAGCTCTCTGCCTCCTCTTGGGCATTCCAATCTGTGCTTCTAATTCTAATTATTTCTATACTGCATCCTCTCAAGGTGCAGCTTTCCAGCCTGGCACAAGAATCTAGTTTTTATCCCTAACCTTCCTGATGGGGGCATTTCAAAGATAATGAAAACCAGTACCAAAACAAAATAAAATCCCAATGACTGTGGTTGATGCTGGAAAGAACCTGTCTGTCCAGAGTTCACCTGGCAGGAACACCATGCTCCAAAGGAGCCAACAATCAGTACCTCGGGAGCCCACGCAAGATTCACCCTGGGCTGAAGCACTGACCCCAGAAGGCTGGCTGGTCAAAAAGCTCCTGCCTTTCATCTGCTGGTTTCAAGCTTTGAAGAAACTCCAGCCTTTCATCCTGGCCGGTGTTTTACAAAATCAATCTTTCTCACCACATGCTTTGCTATTTTTGCCATCTGTACATTACCTATGCTATTAGTTACTAAATATGCTTAAGTTACTTGTTTTTTCATATTAGTAAATTTCTTTATGTTTATTTATTTTTGAGAGAGAGAGTGCACACACAAGAGGGGGTAGGGGAAGAGAGAGATGGAGTCACAGAATTCGAAGCAGGTTCCAGGCTCTGAGCTGTCAGCACAGAGCCCAACACGGGGCTCGAACTCATGAATTGTGGGATCACAACCTGAGCTGAAGTTGGATGCTTAACCGACTGAGCCACCCAGGTGCCCCAATAAATGTCTTTTAAAGGCCCTTTTATCTCCACCCTAAATGCAAAACCAGTATCATTTGCCATATATCAAAATTAACTTCAAAAAGATAATTATGCTGGAAATAATAAAGAGCTATTCAAAAGTTCAGCCAGATTCTGCTACCCCATGCTCTCTTTTTCTAAATAAAAGGGAGATAGCTCATCAAATGATGGCAAAGAATTAAAGACAAGCATAAGGTTTTCCTTTAAAGTCATCAGAAGACCTGAAAAGGAATTAGCAAGAAGATAACTATGTCACCATGTGTTTCAGTGCTCCTTACTGTGAGATCCCCAAAACCTCTCAACACCTTGAGAACTGTTCCTGGCCTGGCTTTTACAACAGGAAAAAGCCGGACCAGCCAGGGGTTCTGGTCAAGGCCAGACAGGACTGGGAGAGTTGGGTGGAAGGGGACTGAGATGTGTTTACTGGAGAGAAGAATTTGGCCCATCAGCCTGGATGCAATTACTTTACACTTGCCAGCACAGTCCCTGTCCCCCCACCAGCAGGGACACTCACACCTGGGCTCAGTGTCCTGACACAGTGGTGCTCAAGTCCAACGGTCTGCATGATCCTGGCCCTTCCTTCCCCGACCAGCGCTGAGATGTGAACTGGCTACTCAAGTCTCTGAACCTCGGTTCCTCCATTGGCATCACAGGGCTGGCTGCTGCCACTGGTGATGCAATTGCTTCACAGGGTAGCAGGAAGGATTACGAGATGATGGCGGAATCAAGTGAGCATAATGAGAGCCCAGAGAGGGCGTCTGCCATCATCAAAGCACAGCGCCAAGTTCCACTTCAGAACAGACAAGACTTAACAGTTTCCCGTTTTGTTTTGTTTCACTTTTAGCCACGAACTAAATGAGAACCAAATTAGTTTTACTCCAATCAGTTAACAGTTTCAGACAAATGGATGCGATCTGGTGTGTGCAAATGAAATTAAATCACAGAATGTGGCAGTGGGAGAGGACCCTGGAGGCCACTGAATCAAGTGGTTTCCTAATGATTTTTGGCCACAAAGCCCTTTTGTTAAATTCAATCACATTTAGAATGCCGGTGTTTAAGCGGAAAGCAGCAGCCCAGGGCTGGCTGAGGCAGGCTGGGAGCTCTGTGCCCCATGGGAGACACGGAGGGTGACTAACCATCCCGGTTCGCCTAGGACTGCCTAGGCAGAACCAGACACACTCCGATAGTCTGCACCCTAGTCTCTGAGGCCTGCTCAGAGCATTATTAGAAAATCATTGTTTAAGCACCCCCACCCCACCCTCCCTTACCCTCTGGTATGTGCTAAATTGTAGTCTCCCAAATTTATATGTTGAAGTCCTAACCTCCAGTACCTCCAGACATGACTATATTTGGAGACAGAGCCTTTACTGAGGTAATTAAGGGAAAATGAGGTCATATGCGGGGCCCTAATCCAACACGACCAGTATCCTTATAAGAGATTAGGACACAGACATACACAGAGAGAAGACCATCCTTGAAGACAAGGACCAACACTGCCAATACCTTGTTCTCAGACTTCCAGACTCCAGAACTGGGAGGAAACATATTTCTGTTGTGTGAGCCACCCAGTCTGGCACCTGGGTTTCCCGGGCAGCCAGTCTGGGGAACTTTGTTATGGCAGCCTTAGCAAACTAATACACTCCGATCTTACAGATGAAGAAAATAAAACCTAGACAGGTGTCATGTCTGTTTATAAGCAATGCAGGAATGCCTATCTGGGCCTCCCTACGCTTGATCCCGTGATCTTTGTTCCACAGAATAGAAGAAAGGGAGTCAGCTAATTAACAATGACCCTGTCTGACCAATGGCACCAAATATTCAAAAGTTCTGTGGTGGAAACACTCCCGATCATATGGAGGCTAAATGCCCACAGATCTCACAGATGGCAATCTGCACTCCCTGCTTCCCACCCCCCAGAACAAAATCAACCTCACATGCAGAGACTAATCTACAGTTTGCACCAATGATGGGCGAGTGGAAGGAAGACCAGATTCCACTGCCATGCCCACCACGTCCATCTGGGCATCCACAGACAAGGTTAAATAAAAGTGCAACAGAACAATAACAAGGTTGCCAGTCCTTCTCTCTTCAGAATCAATACCTGACTCTATCAACTGTCTGACAATTGATTAAACAGTCAGCCCAAACAGTGGCTGCTTATACAGCTCTATAAACATGGTTAATAATCTGCTCTGGGGAGGCAGCTGGACTAGCCCTTCTGAGAACCAAAAAGCTGCTCCTGGTCAGAATGTTAACCTTGAGGGGACACTGCACGTCTGCCTATGTTTGTTTGAGGCAGGACAGAGCTGGACCTCATGGAAATAGCCAGGACCAACGAAAGAAGGCCCAGGGGCAGTTGGGAGTGAAGGGATGAACCTGAGAGCCCGGGACTCTGCAGAACCTCCAGAGTCCCCACGGAGGCACCTGGCCCTCCCACAATCCCTGGAATGGGGCCCCTGCCATTTATGTGGACTTGAAATGAAGGAGTAAACTCAGGAGGCTACAAACCTCAGGTTATAAAAGCTAATGCTCTCTTTGAAGGACAGACAAGACTAGTCTGACTTGGCACAAGAAAGTGTTGCATTTGTCAGTGGGGGGGTGGGGGGCTGAGCTGTTGACAAACTATTCAGAAGTCTCATCAGCCTGGACATGTCTGCATGTGCAGCTGCTCTAAAATAAAGACCCGATGAATACTTTCTGGTTTTGCATGTGGTAGTTTATGTAAATCGATCCCACGGATGGATTTCTCATCAAAGTCACTGCTGTCTCAGAGCAAGATTCTGCTGTCCCTGTATCACTGTGGCACCCACATCCTTCCACTGCCAGGAACAGCTATTAGCAAGGCAAAGAGGACATCACCTGGGAAAGATATCCTCACTGAGTGAAAGGGGGCTATACAATATTAGAGGAATATTTTCCCATCTTTGTCACACATCATTAGCCAATTATCTAGGAAACAGCCACACTTCTCAATTAAGCTAATATGAGAAAGAGAGAGACAGAGAGAGATTGGTTGATTTAGTAAGAGACTTTATTCTTGTGGTAACACAGTCCCTTGGAAATTAAGAATAATTGTCTTTGTCTCGTTTTGCTTTGTCTTGTGAAGGCAAACTCCTAGACAGCAGAAGCTATGTCTCTTCATGGTGGTTGAGAATATTCTTTCTGTTGGTAAGTACAAATAGGCCAAACATGACCTCTGCCTGCTGCTAATAACAGGGCAGGTCTCACACCACCAGCTCAGTTCCAGATCCCTGATCCCACAAGAGAGGAGTGGCTTCCCCAGGTTACACACCACACTGTGGTGAGGAGTTTCACATATGGCTGTAAACTAATAGCACAGCTGCTGCTTATCTTATCAGGATTGAAAGTCTAAAGACTTC